GACACTAGCATATTCCAAGTTATTTATAAATAATATCTTGAGCAACCACCAAAAAAGCTATAGAGCGATACACTAATAAACAATGTAGATGCATCAAGATGGAATTGTGAAGAAATGTCCCAGTAATTTACAGGAAGTTAGGGGAAAGAACAGTAGTTTTGTGGCAGAGCTTTCACTTGTCATGTATAAGTTCCTGGTTTCAATATCCAGCACCATCACAACAACAAGCAAATAAACAAACAAACAAAAAGAAACAAAAGGAAAATAAGAAAGAACAACAGAAAACAAAAAAAAAACCACATTAAGGCTCTAACATATCAACAAGTACATTAAATGTAAATGGCTTAAATACATCAATTATAACAAAGATTTGGGGAGAGTGGGTTTAAGAAATCACAACTCAACTATATATTGTCTACAAAAAAATTCTATGCAGATTGAAAATTAAAATAAAAAAATCATGTTAACATTAATAAAAGTAAAGCAGGAGTGGCTATATTAAGTCAGATAAAGTAACATCAGAGACAGAGTGGAATGTTATAGGAGAAAGAAGAAACATAATAATCCTAAATGTGTACATACCAAACAACAGAGCTGCAAAACATGTGAAAAGACTGATAGACTGAAAGAGAAATAGATGAATTTTCAAGTTGGAGGCTTCAAGGATCCTCTCAACAATTGATAGATGAACTAAAGAGAAAAATCAGCAGAGTTACAGAAGAGTTCAACAATATCATGAACTATTGGCATCTCAGCTGTATTTACAGAACAACCCACCTAACAACTCAATACACACTGTTGTCAAACACTCACAGAACATACACAATGTTGACCACATCCTGGCCCATTTCAAACAAACCTCAACCACTTTAAAAATGAAATTAGACAGAGTGGGTTCTCTAACCATAATGGAATACAATTAAAAATAAAATAAAAGGAAAGTCTTCAAACACTTGGAAACTTAACAAGGCACTTGTAAATAATCTAAGAATCAAAGAGGATGTCTCAAGTGAAATTTAAAGAATGGAGTCCTAATTAGAAAAAGATATATTCCATGATTGTATAATTACATCAAATGAATTCTATTGTATAACTAAAAGAACCAATGAACAACAAAATAAAATACCTGTAGTAATTTTTTAAATAAATAAAAATACATTGTGTTAGCCAAGCAAGGTGATACATGCCTATAATCCCAGCAACTCAGGAGTCTGAGGCAGGAGGATTGCAAGTTTGAGGCCAGTCTCAGCAATTTAGTGAGACCCATCTCCAAATAAAAGGGCTGGAGATGTGGCTCAATAGTAGAGTGCCTCTGGGTTTAATTCCCAGTACAATAACAACAAACGTTGAATGGAATGGAAAACAAAAATACAACATATCAGTATTTGGGAGAGGATAATTTACAGCACACTAAGTAAATATGTTAAAAAAGATAGAAAGTCTAAATCAATTACTCAACACTTTGGTAGTTACAACTTCCATCTTAAGACTCTAGAAAGAAGATGAGAAAAATAAAATGAAGGCATGCCAAAGGAAGAAAATTATGATGATGATAGAAGCCAAGGAAATTAAAAGCAAAAATAATAGAGAAAATATATGAAACCAAGAACTAGTTCTTTAAAAAAATCAATAAAACTGACAAACCTCTAGCAACAATGATCAAAAATCTTCTTACTCCACCACATCAGATTTCACATATAATTTAGCATCAAATTTTTTATGTTTTCTAATTTTCCTTCAGTGTACCTCCTATTATTTGGGATATTTCTTACATGATTGTTTACATATCATCTTTTTCCTACCCCTGAATTATTGTGCTTTTCTTTTCATATAATGAAATTACAGAGAATTGTGAGAAGTCCATTTCATCCTTGAAGGGTAGTCTTTACCTTTCAATTTGGCAAACATGAAGAATTTCTGAAAGATATAATGGAATTATAGGAAAACAAATATTTGAGACACAAAAGGGAAATCAACTTGATAAGGTATGCAATGATATAAGTTAACTAAATGAAATTAAATATAGTGTACTTTGCAAGTTTTCATAAAAGAACTTTTTCAGGACATTGGTAATAATCCAGCTAAATTAACCTTTAGAACATCTTTAATTTCAGTTCTGCACACATGAGCATAAAGAGAATAGGGCATTGTGATTTTTTTTACATTGTCTACCATTCCATGTCACTTAAAGCAAAGATTGAGATCTTGCTATTCAGATATTAAAAGAAGTTGGAGAATATGATTAAAATTATTCACAATGAAAGCATAAATGTTCTATATCTTGAAAAAGGTGTGTATTACATGGATCAATTCATTTGTTACAATGGTACCATTAAGTTTGGTACCTTTCAATTTATGTAAACATTACCTCCAGAAAAGGACAATACAAAAAGTAAATGTGTAGTGGAGGTAGAAACTGAAGAGAAAGTTACAGATAAGATAAGACAATGTTGTGAAACTGAATGATGCGTTTGCTTTGTATATGTTGGAAATTTTCCATAATAAAAATATTTTAAATAATTCCTTGTGAGAACATGTTTATGAAAGCCAAGTCAATTCAAAGTCATTCAAGCAAATCAAATTAAAGCAAAAAGGATAAAATCAGAGACACATTCTCCTGTATATATCTAATGTAATCAATCCACTTTCTGTAAAAAGGCAACTTCTTGACATACTCAACTGATATCTTTTGGGAGGATGTTCAGATACTTTCTTCTTTCTCTCTGCCATGATTATCACTGTCCTCAAATATATTTCACTGATATAAATTGAGTTTAACACATACTGTACTGCTGATAAAGGTTGCTTTTAAATGAGAAATAATTCAACAAGAAGTATTGAGGATACCTGATGTGCTGCAATCATACAGAGTGAGTACAGGACTTTGGAAGACAAGATTGCTGGAATCAGAACTTCAGTCCCCACTCAGAAGGATGCATTTAGAAGTGAGCCATAAATTGCCTTGTTTCAGAAAATAAACTAAATCCATCTGAGATTGTCATTATTGTTGGTTTTGTCTCATCAATTCCTTTTTCTTGTTCATATCCTCAAGGGATAATCCATTCTCAGTAATATTTAGTGAGTGAGTCCTGGAGGTGAGTCACATTGATATTCTATATCCTTATGGCTTTATATATCTTATTTACCCATAAAATGACCTTAGCTTTTCAGACCATTTTATTTAGTTTTATTTGTTTTACCTGGCATTGAAGTATTTGGAAAATATCTTCATTTTTAGTTTTGCATCATCTTGGCTCTTCTGTGAAGTAAATTTTTCTTGACCTCAGTGGATTTCACCTCTAAATAAATATGAAATCCACCATAAATAAATTATGCTTGGCATATTTCATGTTCTTATATTTTCACTTTTTCCATGTTTTCAGGATATTTAGAAAAACGTTGCCAGTTGTGGTGGTGCATGCCTATACTCCCAGCAGCTAGGGTGATTGAGGCAAGAGGATCACAAGTTCAAGGCCAGTCCCAACCACTTAGTGAGATCCTAAGCAACCCTGTCTGGGGATGTGGCTCAGAGGTTAACTCCTGGATTCAATCCCCAGTATCAGAGAGAGGACAGAAGAGAGAAGAGAGGAAAGGAAAGAGGAGGGGAGAGATGAATGAGGAGAGAAGAGAGGAGATGGAATAATTTTTCAATTTATCCGAGCAGAAACTGGTGGGATAAAGTGAGCATAGTCACAATGTTCTGTCATTGAATTCCATGGTTTTCACTCAAATGTTAAAACACCTTTTCACATCAACTTATTTGACCTATATTTATAGGACCTGGATAAGAAAATATGACAAAGGTAGTTCTTGAATGTCTTCTTTTGCATTGTGATATATTCTTAGGAAAAGGACTTTTAATCATTGTAACCAATATGAGGAGAATTTGAGAAAATGTTAGATCAAAATACACAAGACTCTTCAAACTATGACCAATTCTATTAATACAAAATGAAGATTAACACTAAGAAGCTTCTGACAAATATAATTGATTGTTCCTAATTCCTTTTCTGAAACATTTAACTTACGTTGATGCTTCTGTCATAAGTAACTCTTGGTTTCAACTTTTCTTCTAACAGCCTAATTGTTTTCTTTACTGTGCACACATCACCACATTACAAAGTAAGTAGGTTGTTCATGCCGTTTGAGTCATATAATTTAGAAAAATCATTGTCAGTTTTACAATTAGTGTGTTAAACATCTTTTACAATTTGGATAGTTTGTTGATGAGTTTGTTGGGACAGGTAAATAATATACTTTATGGACTGGGCATGTGGTTCAGTGGTATAGCCCTTGTCCAGCATGCACAAAGCCCTAGGCTCAATCCTCAACATTGCCAAAAAAAAAAAAAAAAATTTTTTTTTACACTGCTTATCAAAGATAAATTGTACTTCTAAAGAATCAAAGTTGATTATAGGAGTTTGTTACCTAAGAGAGTGATTCTTAAACATTAATATGCATAAGAATCACTTAATGAGAATCACATAGGGGAAAAGATTGAAGTGTAGATTGCCCTTAGCACCAGACAGTTTGATTGAAATATCTGGAGGGAGCCAAGGAATTGACTTTAAAAACAAAAATTTTAAAACACGCACACAAACAAGCCTTCCAAACAACTCCTTATGCCTGTGCTTCACACACTCCATTTGAGTAACACTGATTCAAACTAAGCTCAGATTTCAGAAGCATTGTTAACTTGAAAATACCTCATGAAGTTAATAACTTGACCGCGTGGTGGCGGTGCAGGCTAAGAGAATGAATAAAAGCTCCAAAGATTTGGTGGACTCCCACTTCACCCAGAAACCAAAGAAAGAAAATACAGAACACAATTACAGCTAGAGCTAAGATAGATGTAATCGGTAAGGGAGTCGTAGCTGGATAAGCTATAAGGAGGAATTAAAAATCTATATACAACAAAGACATTTCAAAGGGTCTGTGGTCGATCTGGAATTGGGAGCTGAAAAGGATTTCCCCCTCCGGAATTGGAACCAGACATAACAATGGAGATGGTGAAAACAAAAATACAGCACAAGAAAAGGCAAGTGGCTACCTTTATTATACTGATGCTTTTGTGGGAGGTGGGTTCAGAATCGGTTCAGTATTCCATAATGGAGGAGACAGAAAGTGGCACGTTTGTGGCTAACTTGACAAAGGACCTGGGATTTAAGGTGGGAGAGCTGGCAGATCGGAGCGCCCGTGTTGTTTTCAAAGGAGATAGACAACATTTGCAGCTTGACCCACAAACCCATGATTTGCTGCTAAATGAAAAACTGGACCGGGAGGAACTCTGTGGCTCCACTGAGCCCTGTGTGCTACCTTTTCAGGTGTTACTGGAAAACCCCTTGCAGTTTTTTCAGGCTACCTTGCGAGTCAGAGATATAAATGACCATGCTCCAGAGTTTCCAGCCAGAAAAATGCTCCTGAAAATATCAGAAATTACTATGCCAGGAAAGATATTTCCTTTGAAAATGGCGCAGGATTTAGACGTTGGCAGCAACAGCCTTCAAAGCTACTCCATCAGCTCCAACCCTCACTTCCACGTTCTTACCAGCAATCGCAGCGACGGCAAGAAATTCCCAGAGCTAGTGCTTGACAAAGCATTGGATCGCGAGGAGCAGTCCCAATTCAGACTAACCCTGACCGCCCTGGATGGTGGGTCTCCGCCCCTATCGGGAACTTCAGACATTCAAATCCTGGTTTTGGACATCAATGACAATGTCCCTGAGTTTACTCAGGACCTCTATGAGGCGCACATCTCTGAGAACAAACACCCTGGCTCGCTGGTAATTACCGTTTCAGCCAGGGATTTAGATGCGGGATCATTTGGGGAGGTATCTTACACCTTATTTCAAGATGATGACATTAACCAACCCTTCGAAATAAATGCAATAAGTGGAGAGATTCGACTGAGAAAAACTTTGGATTTTGAAGAATTTCAGTCTTATCATGTGGATATTGAGGCCACAGATGGTGGGGGCCTAACAGGAAAATGCTCTTTAATCGTTCAGGTCCTGGACGTGAATGACAATGCTCCTGAATTGACTGTGTCCTCACTTAACAGCCCTATAGCTGAAAACTTGCCAGGAATAATAGTGGCAGTTTTCAGTGTTTCTGATGCAGATTCTGGACCTAACCAAGAAGTTATTTGTTCCATAGACGACAATCTCCCCTTTCTTCTAAGACCTTCAGTGGAAAATTTCTATGCTCTGGTAACAGATGGAGCTCTGGACAGAGAGACCAAAGCCAAGTACAACATCACCATCACGGTCACAGACTTGGGGACACCCCGGTTGAAAACCGAGCACAGCATAACCATCCACGTCTCTGACGTCAACGACAACGCCCCTGCCTTCACGCAAACATCCTACACACTATTGGTGCGTGAGAACAACCAACCCGCCCTGAACATAGGCAGTGTCAGCGCCACAGACAGAGACTCAGGCACCAACGCCCAGATCACCTACTCGCTGCTGCCAACCCAGGACCCGCACCTGCCCCTCGCCTCGCTGGTTTCCATCAACGCAGACAATGGGCAGCTGTTCGCGCTGAGGGCGCTGGACTTCGAGGCCCTGCAGGCATTTGAGTTCCGCGTGGGCGCCACAGACCAAGGCTCGCCCGCGCTCAGCAGCCAGGCGCTGGTGCGAGTGGTGGTGCTGGACGACAATGACAACTCGCCCTTCGTGCTGTACCCAATGCAGAACGCCTCTGCGCCCTGCACCGAACTGGTTCCCAGGGCGGCAGAGCAGGGCTACCTGGTCACCAAGGTGGTGGCAGTGGACAGAGACTCAGGCCAAAACGCCTGGCTGTCATACCAGCTGCTCAAGGCCACGGAGCCCGGAGTGTTTGGCGTGTGGGCGCACAATGGCGAGGTGCGCACCGCCAGGCTGCTGAGCGAGCGCGACGCGGCCAGGCACAGGCTGGTGGTACTGGTCAAGGACAATGGTGAGCCTCCGCTGTCTGCCAGCGTCACGCTGCACGTGCTGCTGGTGGATGGCTTCTCCCAGCCCTACTTGCCGCTCCCGGAAGTGGCGCCTGAGCGCGCGCAGGGGGACTCGCTCACTGTCTACTTGGTCATCGCCTTGGCGTCGGTGTCATCGCTTTTCCTCTTCTCTGTGCTGGTGTTTGTGGCGGTGAGGCTTTGCAGGAGGCGCAGGGCGGCGCCGCTGGGTGTCTGCTCTGTGCCTGAGGGCCACTTTCCTGGCCACCTGGTGGACTTTAGTGGCACTGGGACCCTGTCCCAGAGCTACCAGTATGAGGTGTGTCTGGCTGGAGACTCTGGGTCTGGTGAGTTCAAATTCTTGAAGCCTATTATCCCCATCTTACCTCCTTAGGGAACTGGAGGGAAATTGAGGAAAGTCCCACCCTTCAGAATAGCCTCCTATTCTGTGAAATATTGTATTACTATACTAAACCCTACTTAATTAAGTTTAGAAATGTTCTTTTTTTTGTAGTTGTAGATAGACATAATGCTTTTATTTTATTATTTGTTTATTTTTATGTGGTGCTGAGGATGGAACCCAGTGCCTCACCAATGCTAAGCAAGTGCTCTGCCAGTGGGGTACAGCAGCAGCTCCTGGAAATGTTCTTTAACTTAAATTCATGTTATTGATTCATGTTTTGATTCTCCAATTCTTTTATTACTATTCATTATGCTGAAATTTTAGAATAAAAGTCAGATACCAGAGATGTACCATATTTTATCCATTATCCATGTGCTTCATCTTTTTTATTACTCTCACCTACTTTTTAATTAATTAATTTTAATTGAGTATATATGACATCAGAATGCATTTTGATTGTACACAATTGCAATACAACTTTTCATTTATCTGGTTGTATATGATGTAGCAACTCTCACCTACTTTTGACAACTGAAATAAAAAGTAATTTTTTAGTAATTAAGACATTTAAAATTACCTATCCTTTCAAAAAACTATATTCCAAAATCCTTACAATTCTATTTCTAAGAATTGGTTACAGTCATTTCTCTACTACTTTGGAGAACTATTTTTAAATTGTATTTGAAAGTATTTAATCTCCCAAAGGAAGTCTCATTTTGAGATAACTCCACCAGTGTGTATATAACTCTAAATGCTAAGACAGATAAATGTAAAAATAGCCATTCATACTTATATGCATATCAGTACACCATAATGATTAATACTTTCTTTGGATATAGACTTTGCTGAACTGTCAACACATAAAATTGCAATTTGTAAACCTCATATAAAATTATGATGGTCTTTTTTCTTAACACTAAGCTAATTATAAATGATTAATAAATATTGGATTAATGTTATTAAAATTTCAGTAATGATGGTTTAAAATTGATTAATGTTAATATCTTCTTTACAATAAACTACCCTTGCCAATGAGTGAAGTTATTAAATATTTCTTATGTTCTTATTTTTGTTTAACAGTTTCAAAGTTCAAAAGTACTGTTTTGTAAAATCCAAATTATATTTTTAAATTTCTCTGGTTTTCAAGCTTTTATATATGATACTAGCCAAGAACTAAGTACTGTGTTAGACTGATTATTAAGGAATATCAGACTTTCCTTTCTACTGCTGTGTAAGCATCTTTTATCTCTATTAGCCACAAAACCATTTACATTCACAGGTTAACCTAACATTTCCTCTTTTTGTATCAGTTATGTTTGTGATTTTTTAATGAAAATTCTCATTTCAACTTGCTACAAAAGGCAGACAATTCACATTAAATGACAAGTGAACTTTTATTTTTATACTTAATTGAAACGAAAGTAGGTCTCACTGTATTTTGTAACCAAATAAGTCCAATTTTTATAGATGATTGCAAATTGGCTTGAAGAGTGTTGATAACATTTATTATTTGAAATTTTCAGATACTTATCCTTTCCTCTGTCAAATAAAATTATTTTTTGTTGAGAAGATTTTCCTCTTTCACTATTCACACTCCAACCACATGGCATTAGTTGGAACTTTGTTCTTTTTCTTTCTTTTTAAATTTTATTTTAAATTTTTTCTTGTTTTATTGTGTTTTGTAATTTTTTATTTGTTCTTCTTAGATATACATGACAGTAGAGTATATTTTGTAGTTTTTCAATTCCCAGGACTCCATAGGCCAGAAAATGTAATCCAGAATAGACTCCTGTCTAGTGCAAAAGGTCAAAACACTTCCCCCAGAAAGTATATTTTTTTACTTTTTTGTCTTTATTGTCTTTTTCAAGTTTGTAGAAAAGACATTGCCTGAAGTCTGAGATTACACTGTTTCAAGTAAAACGAGTGGGTATTTTCTCTTTAGTTCACTGGGCATTACATCCAGTGGGTTTATGAAGGGAAAAAAGCCCAGAACCTATTTAAGCCTAGGACTGAGAAGAAAACACATTTTAATTTTTTTCATGAGTTATAGTTACTTTGCAATTTAGGAACAGAAATCAGATTTTAAAAATCATAATTTTGCCTAATTAAATGTACAAATTAATATCTGTAATAGAAATAAACTCCACAAGACAAAAAAAATTGTTTCATTTACTGTTGATCCTTAGAAGCTAAAAGATTGCCCGCACAGGTAAATATTTGTTAAATGAATTTGCCTCAGCAGAGTTTGTTTACTGGATTTTATCTTACTTAGGACTATATATTACTTTTGTTTTTATAACTATTGTTAGCTACTTGAATAATACTGCAAAAGGGTTCAGGAAAGGGGATTGTATAAACACTATGACCTACAATTTATGGTAGCTCTTGCTATGTATAAAAAATTATCTGAATTTGTAAAGCAGAACGCTTGGTGGCGCTGCAGGCTAAGAGAGTGAAAAACTGCAGTCAGTGACTCCTTGAAAACTGAACAGTTTCCGGCAGTTTAAAAAGGAACCGTGTTACATTTCTAGGGGTAGAATATTTCAAAGAAGCAGCTCCCCATATGTCAATCGTGTTTTTTTTTAAAAAAAGATTAACTTGACATTATTAAGTCTAGATAGCGGAGTTGGATACAAATCAATTATTGTGTATTAAAATACTGCATCTTTTGGACCTGAAGGAACAATGGAGTCTCCGCTCTCCAAAGCGCCTCAGAAAAGGCAAGTGACCATCTTTATTTTCTTGTTTCTACTGTGGGAGGTGGGCAGTGTAACCGTTAAGTATTCCATTCTAGAAGAAAGAGACAGCGGTTCTTTTGTGTCCAACCTAGAAAACGATCTAGGGCTGGGCATAGGGGAGCTAGCCAAGAGGGGCGCCCAGATTCTTTCCCAAGGGAACAGACAGCACTTAGAGCTTGAACAAAAGAGTGGGAATTTGCTCCTAAAAGAAAAATTGGATCGAGAGGAGTTGTGCGGGGACACAGATCCATGTATACTGCATTTCCAGGTGTTAGTGAAAAACCCGGTGCAGTTTATTCAAGGTGAACTACACCTCCAAGATGTAAATGACCATGCCCCAGAATTCTTGGGAAAGGAAATCCTCCTTAAAATCGCGGAAAGCAGCCAACCAGGGACTCTGTTTCCTTTGGAAATAGCTCAAGATTTGGACGTTGGTAGCAACACAGTTCAGAACTACATAATTAGCAGCAACTCCCATTTTCACCTTCTCACTCGCAATCACAGCGACGGCAGGAAATATCCCGAGCTGGTGCTGGAGAAAGCCCTGGACCGAGAGGAGCAACCCGAGTTCAGGTTAACCCTCACAGCTCTGGATGGTGGGTCTCCGCCCAGAAATGGAACTTGCCAGGTTCTCATCCTGGTTCTGGACATCAATGACAATGCCCCTGAATTTGCTCAAGGACTCTACCAGGTGCAGGTCCCAGAGAACAGCCCTGTAGGTTCCCTTGTCATAATCGTCACCGCTAGAGATTTAGATGCTGGGATCTATGGGGAGCTCACCTACTCATTTTTCCAATCACCAAATCAAGTCATTCAGGCCTTTGAAATAAATAAAGCCTCAGGAGAAATTAGATTAAAAAAACTGTTGGATTTTGAAGAAATTGACTCTTACCACATAGAAATTGAGGCCTCAGATGGTGGAGGTCTTTCAGGAAAATGCACTGTCGACATAGAAGTGATGGATGTAAATGACAACGCCCCTGAACTGGCTATGTCATTACTTATCAATGATATCCCAGAAAATTCCCCAGAAACTGTAGTTGCTATTTTCAGAATTTCAGATCCAGACTCTAAAGATAACGGAAAAATGATGTGTTCCATTCAAGACCATCTACCCTTTATTCTGAAACCCACAGTAGAAAACTTCTACACTTTGGTCACAGAAGGAGCGCTGGACAGAGAAACCAGAGCCCAGTACAACATCGTCATCACCGTCACCGACTTGGGGACACCCAGGCTGAAAACCGAGCACAATATAACTGTCCTCATCTCCGACGTCAACGACAACGCCCCTGCCTTCTCCCAAACGTCATACACACTGTTGGTGCGTGAGAACAATCAACTCGCCCTGCACATAGGCAGCATCAGTGCCACAGACAGAGACTCAGGCACCAACGCCCAGATCACTTACTCACTGCTGCCAACCCAGGACCCGCACCTGCCCCTCGCCTCGCTGGTCTCCATCAACGCAGACAATGGGCAGCTGTTCGCGCTGAGGGCGCTGGACTTCGAGGCCCTGCAGGCATTCGAGTTCCGCGTGGGCGCCACAGACCAAGGCTCGCCCGCGCTCAGCAGCCAGGCGCTGGTGCGCGTGGTGGTGCTGGACGAAAATGACAACTCGCCTTTTGTGCTGTACCCAATGCAGAACGCCTCTGCGCCCTGCACCGAACTGGTACCCAGGGCAGCAGAGCAGGGCTACCTGGTCACCAAGGTGGTGGCGGTAGACAGAGACTCAGGCCAGAACGCCTGGCTGTCATACCAGCTGCTCAAGGCCACGGAGCCAGGGCTGTTTGGCGTGTGGGCACACAATGGCGAGGTGCGCACCGCCAGGCTGCTGAGCGAGCGCGACGCGGCCAGGCACAGGCTGGTGGTGCTGGTCAAGGACAATGGTGAGCCTCCGCTGTCTGCCAGCGTCACGCTGCACGTGCTGCTGGTGGATGGCTTCTCCCAGCCCTACCTGCCGCTCCCGGAAGTGGCGCCCGAGCGCGCGCAGGGGGACTCGCTCACTGTCTACTTGGTCATCGCCTTGGCGTCGGTGTCATCGCTCTTCCTCTTCTCTGTGCTGGTGTTTGTGGCGGTGAAGCTGTGCAGGAGGCGCAGGGCGGAGCCCTTGGGTGTCTGCTCTGTGCCTGAGGGCCACTTTCCTGGCCACCTGGTAGATGTCAGTGGCACCGGGACCCTGTCTCAGAATTATCGATATGAAGTTTACCTGGCGGGAAGCTCTGAGACTAGTGAGTTCCAAGTTCTTAAACCAATGCTCCCCAACTTACTGGGTGAAGGTGCTGATAAGAATACCGAAGAAAACCGTAACTTGAGGAATCATTTTGGGTTCAATTAGGAATGTGATTTTGACAATATGAGATAAATTATTATATTCACTAGTCTTGTAAATTCTTTACCCTTTCATTCACGTAAAGAAAGTACTAAAGTGTGGTAGTAATTATTGTATATATAAGAATTTCAACCTGTAGTACTATTTTTTCATTGTTTCCATTTCTTAGGTATCTCACATAATGCAAGTGGACACAATAGCAGAGAAATCAAGTGGTGTTTTTTCTTTTGGTCCTGTTTTTGTAAGTCACATATATTTTCAGGTTTAATTTTCAACTTATTCGTTGGTACCTTTTTATGATTAATATAATCATTCTCCAAACTTACTGATTACCCACAGGATTTATTTGTAATTAATGTCTCTTAGTTTTAAAAAAAATAGTTTTCATTTATGCAATAAATTTAAGTGACTTTATAAATTGTGTTTCTGTTGTTTTGTTTCAAAAACATAATTGTCTTTCTCAAAGAAACCAATATTTTAATCTGGATGGTGTTTACTTAAATTGAGTAGTTTCTTTCAAAATTGATATCATTCAGTTAGGTGATCTATTATTTTATGGGATTTAATATCTATTACGTGAAAAATTTTAAAACAGTGGTAGACTTGTGACTACTTTTTCATTATAAATGGGTTTAGTACTGAATGATTCTTATTTTTCAAATTATATTTACTCACATCATTCAAACATATACAATAAGTACAAAAATAAGATTAACATAATAATTCCGCTATCCAGAAGTAATTTAAGTAACATTATTCTAAAATATTCTATTTGGACTGAGAGTGTAGCTCAGTGGTAGCTCACACAATGAGCAGTCAAGAAGCCGAGTTCCATACCCAAGACCATATAAAAAGAGTATAAATAAAATATACCTCTAAATATATATAAGAGTGAATTGTTGGTGGAGATAATTTATAAAACTGATAATAAACTGATAGTTTCTAATTAAAATTATTACATAAAATGTAATAAAATGAGAAATTATAAAACTTTCTTAGGCTTAGACAAATAATATCTATGAGATTTGAAAACAAGATTATGATGCATATGAAGAACAGCAAATGTATCTCAGTGGTTATTCAATCCCCAGCTCTGCCCAAAAATTGCTGCTGTGGTGCATACTAAGAAATTAGCATCATTTAACTGTTTTGTTTAAAAATGAGAAAATAGTGCTGGGTATGTAGCTTAGTGATAGAGTACTTACTTAGCATATGTGAGACCTTGAGTTTGATCTCCAGCACTGCAAAAACAAGTACATAATAATAAAGTAAAAATGAGCAAATAAACACTTTTAAATCTCCTCTCTCCTCATCAGGCTTATACTTTGTGTGATATATACCTATATATTACCTTATCAATATTTGTAACATTTACAATATATTTGAAAAGATAACTTCTATAATCAGCCATTTTATATTTTTAATTGAAATTCATATAATGATACATTTTTAAATTTCATTTGACTGCCCAGAGGTAATCACTTTTGATATTTGTATCTGTTCTTCCCTATTTATTTTTTTTTAATAAGACATGGTTTGTTTTGTTGTTGGCTTTAAATTTTTGCAATGCTGGGGATAGAAACCCAGGGCTCACATATTCTGGATGAGTGCTCTACAACTGAACTACCTCTCCAGCCACTACTTCTGTATTTCTAAATAATATGTTTATTAACTGCTTTTTTCCATTTTCAGTTTTAGATATCCTTTACTTCCTTTCTTAAACAGCACACACATTCACACATACACATATACTTTTACATTTTCTCTACTCCATCCTCCAAATTAGAAATATAATTGCTTATATTGTGTTTAAATGATTAATACTGTGCAAATATTGATTACATCTGAGCCTCAAGAGGAAAAAAGAAAAGCCACTTTGTTTAGCCTTAAATTAATAGTTGCCTCCTTTTTCATCTTATTTACTTTTCTATCTACATAGTTTTAAGGTATTCCCATGCTTTCTAAAATCTAAAGCTCACAATTTGATATTTAGTCTCAAAAAGATATCTATTAGTTTCATTCTTTTCTCTTCAAGCCACTCTAGAGCAAAACAAACTCCTGTTCAACAGTATACTATTTGCTCTCTAGACCTATTGCATAGCAAGTAGTTTGTATTACCCTCATAATGGGAATCTTATCTTCCTTTTGCATTTGATTTCATTTTCTGGATTTTCTACTTCTCTCTTATTATTTTCTTTGGAGTTCCTAGAGAATATTTGCTATTAATGTATTGAGAGATTGAATATCTTAAAATTCTAGATGTCAAAAGATTCAGTGTGAAGATTTTATTGTGTGCAAAGTTATAGGTGGAATTATTTGCTGCTAGTACTTTGAAGGCATTCTTCCTCTGTCTTTTAATCTCCAGTGTCGAATATGCATTAATATTCTGACCATCCATGTTTTTCTGAGAACCACTGTTTTCCCTCTAGGTCTCTGGATCTCAGCCAGAGCAATTTTACCACCCAGAGACATTTGGCAATGTCTGGAAACATTTTGATATTCACAACTGTAGGACATTCTTCTCCTTGGTAGATATGCTGTTAAATATTCCACAATCCATGGGTCAGCTTCCCACAAAGAATTAACTGACCTCAAATGCAAGTAGTGTTGAGGCTGAGAAACTTTATATGAATTTACCTTCTTATATATAGCACCAGCATTCTAGAATTTCATTATTGTGTTATAGTGGAAAAAATTTTTGTCACTCATTGTGCTAGGTACTCAGTGAGACCTGTCAATCTTGAGATGTACTCTTCAAACTAGGACATGTTTAAGAATTTTGTGGGTTTGTTTTGTCATTTAAAAAATTATTTCTTCCACTCAATGTTCTTTGTTTTCTATAACTCCTTTTAATTTATAGTGAGCTCCTGGGTTGATATTTAATGTTTCTTCTTTCTTTTCCCCTTTGTTTAAAAAAAATAACAATTTATGTTGAACTATCCTTGTTTCATTTGATCTGGTGAATAATCTTTGTGTGTATGTGTGTGGATGTGTGGAGGGGTGATGGTAGGGATGAACCCAGGGCCAAATGCATGCTATACAAGTGCTCTCTCACTAAGCCACACCCCCAGTCAGTGAATAATCTTTTAAATGTGCTATTAGATCCAGTTTGGCAGTATTTTGCTAGATCCAGTCTGCCAGTATTTTGTTCATTAAGGATATTGCCTTGCAGTTTCCTACTTTTTGTGTATATATGGTGCTAGGGATCTAACCCAAGACCTTGTGCATTTGAGGCAAGCATTCTACTAACTGAACTATATCTCCAGCCCTAGTTTCTTATTTTTGCTGTGTCCTTGTCCAGTTTTGGTATCAGAGTATATGTTGGGAAGAATTCCTTTCTCTTCCATTTTTTTGTGATAATTTAAGAAATTAGGTGTTATGTATTCTTTTAATGTTTGGTGGAATTCAGTAGTGAAGATGTCTAGTTCTGGGCTTTTCTTTGATGGGAGACTTTTTATTACTGATTCAATCTTATTAGTTGTTATGAGACTCTTTGGATTTTCACTATTTTTTCATGATTCAATCTGGGTAATGTTTTTATGTCCAGGAATTTTTGCATTTCTTCTAGATGATCAAATTTATTAGCCTATAACAAAGGTTCTCTAATGAACCTTTGTATTTATTTCCATGGCATCAGTTGTAATGTTTCCTTTTTAATCTCTGATTGTACTTGAGTCATCTATTTTTCTTAATCTAGGTAAGGTTTGTCAGTTTTATTTATATTTTTGAAGAACCAGCTTTTTATTTCATTGATATTTGGCATTGGTTTTTTTTAGTCTCTATTTCTCCTTGGATCTTTTATTTATTTTATTTTATTATTTTTTGTGATACTAGGGATAAAACCCATGTTTGTAGAGCAAACCCAGTCCTTTTTTAACATTTTGAGACAGGGATTGTTTTCAAGCCTGGCCTCAAACTTACATCCTCCTGCCTCAGCCTCCCAAGTAGCTGGGATTACAGGTATGCATCACTCCACCCAGCTGAATTACCCTTTGATCTTTAATATTTCTTTGCTTATACTAATATTGGGTTGAGTTTGTGTTTTTCTAATTCCTTAAAAGGCAGCAACAGGTTGTTTATATAAGATTGTTCTGCTTTTTTCACATAGGCACTATTGCTATGAACTTCCCTCTAAGTATGGCTATTGCAGTACCCCATAGTCTTTGGTATGTTGTGTCTCTATTTTCATTGGTTTGAAATATTTTTTAAATTTCCTTCTTGATTTCGTCCTTGATCTGTTGATTTAACAGTAAGTTGTTTAATATTCATTTTTTCTTATAGTTGTTATTATCCTTCGTATTTATTTTCCTGGATTCTAGCAAATATTCTCACTTATTTTTGCATGCTTCTGACTGAATTTTAAACTTTTGGTATCAGTTTTACTTTCAAAAGCTATTTTTTGTTCAATGAATTTTGACAGAAGCCTTCTGGTTTTAAATTCTTTGGTGAGCTATAATTCATATACCATAACAATAACCCTTAAAAATAGAATCCATTGGATTTTTAGTATATGCAAAATGTTGTACAGTTATTACCACTAATTCCAGAACATTTTCACTTGTTACCCCCAAAATCCAGTACCCATTAGCAACCACTTTCATAACCTCCTTCCTCTAACCTCTAGGAACCATTAATCAATTTTCTATCTCTTTGGTGTTCTGGACATTTCATATAAATGGAATCACACAATATGTAACTATTTGTGTCTAGATTCCTTTGCTTAGCATAATGTTTTCAAGGTTCATCTATGAATTAGTATGTATCAGTACTTCTTTCCTTTTTGTGGTTGAATAATATTTCATTGTATGAACGTGCTACATTTTGTCCATTCTTCAGTGATAGACATTTATTTGGGTTTATGTCTATTCTTGGTTATTATTAATAATACTGCTATGTACATTCATGTGTAAGTTTTTGTGTGGACATATGTTTTCAATTCTCTTGAAATTGAAGATTAAAATATTCTGAAAATTAGAATTGCTAGGTCATATAGTGGCTATGCATAA